CACCACACTCCAACAAGCCCTCAAGTCCTGCCACCGGCTCGATGCCTGGCACAGCGGTCTTCCACAGGAATTCCAGCCGAGCCGGCTGGCCATGCTACACGCCCCTAAGTCAACCCGCCAACATCACCCACAACGGGGACGCCTCCATCTTCCTCCTCTGCACCAAGGGGCTGCACGATCAAGGCCGCAGCCCAGTACCCTGGCCTGGGCACCCCGATACTTGATGTGCTGGCGCGGTTGGTCAATAGCCTCGGGCTTGGCAGCCGCAGCAGTAACGACAACGGCAGTGGTGGTGTCGATGAGGGGCTGCGTGCCGGGTTGGCGCGCGTGGCGGAAGAGCCTAGAGGGGTTGAGCTCGAGAGGGAGTGTGTGCATATGCAGTGGCCGGTTTTTTGGGGGGTGGATGAGGTGGTGAGGAGGTGAGGGGGTTAAGGAGAAGGGAGAGAGTGATGGAATGGGGATAGCTTAGATGGGTAGGGGAGATGGGGATGATGGGGATGAGGTAGAGGGGGTGGTCGTGGTGAAAATACGGAAAGTGAGGAATAGGGGTTCAGGGGGTTGCTATTTTGATGGAAAGGGGCTTGTTTTGGTCTGCGCTGATCCTCTGGTTAGTTAGCTGCCAGTGAGTTACCAAGAGGCTTCAAATTGTTCAGAAGGGAATTCACTCGAGATACAATTCTTCCTTGGCTTCTGAAGCGAATCCTTCAGATGTATCCAGACCATTTAGGGGGAAAATTATGTCTTGGATCGCACTCCCAGTAGGGGCTGCAGCAGCAAGTTTGCTTTTGCGTTGCACAAAGCTCTCTCCGGGGGTTTTAGAGATGCGAGACAGAGCTCGCACTCTAGGAAAGGTGACCGAGAAGAAGTATGCGGAGGGGGGCGGTTTGCTAAAGTTATCCATAGCTGATGGGTTCATCTTCAAGCGCTCCTTGACCCCTTTTCTCAACCACCATGCACCGCGATAACCTCACCGCCCCCATCCCATTGACCAACTTCCTCAACCCACGCCAAACAGCAAACACCACCTACCCTCCCCCTCCCCCTTCAACAAACAAAATGCATCTCCTCCCCACCCTCTCCCTCCTCCTCACCACCCTCCCCCCTACCCTCGCCACCCCCCACATCCCAGCACCACCGCAACCCCCCGCGCCAACCCACCCCCATACCCGCTGCCGACTACCTCGACCCGACACTGTAGCAACCACGAACCCGCGACGCCGCTAATCGTGCCCGCCTACTCGAACCGTGTGGCGCTGCCCTCGCGCTGGGAGCCCTCGCCTTCCCGCGCGCGCGCTTCGCCAGACGTCCCTCGCCGGCCGCCTCACACTGCTCCCACAAGCTCGGTGTTTCGCGATATACCCGTGGGTCACCGCAGCGGTCACTGCGTCCTTGACGCGTGCAGTTGGAGGGGGAGGTGAGGGTAGGGGAGGGCGAGTGGTCGGAGAGGGCGGAGGAGGGGGTGGGGTATCGAAGGTAGGTCGGTGGTTTTGACAAAGAAAGTCCACACCCCCGTGACGATATCCCGGCATTACACCAGCCATCCACCAGCAGTGGAACCGCCACGGCCACACCCTATTTAATGTTTTTGCCTCCCACAGCTTCCGGCTCCGGGGACAAGCGAGGTCCAAGCGACCCAATTTCGTACAGGTAGGAAGGGTTGGGGATTTTACCCCACACCGCACCCCCCTTCGGG